ACACACACACACACACACACACACACACACACACACACACACACACAGAATCATGACATGGAAATTTCTCTCTCCAGATAGCTCCTGAACTCTTATAAAGAGTGGAAGGAGTAGGAAGATTAGAACTGTTTTACAGGAGAGAATCAGTCAGATGGTATAAGCCTTGGTCTTTTAACGAGATTGCCCACATAGAAGGAATCACACGTGCCGAGGGTCTCAGGGAAAGCATGCCCTTTTTCGTGACTTCTAGTTGCACAAGAAAGGTGGTCCTAACGCTTCCAGTGGCTATTCAAACCCTGAAGTTGGGCAGGATTCCACAAGCCATGATTTAATGAGGCCATTTGGGTTGTATTAGCTATTTATTAATCGAAGTACGGCCAAAGATGTTTTCTTCCCTGCCTGAGAGCTGCCTTTCTAGTGACATTCAATCCTCAGGAGAGAAGCAGCCAGCTGGGTGCTCTTTGGCTTGGAGTTGGGGGCTGAATGATCAAATTTCACCTTTGGCTGCCATCATCTGGGCAAGGTGCATGACTGGATCTGAAGGCCTCACCCCTGCACTGAAGCACCTACCAGCACTGTATCTTTCTACCGGACTTCTCTGCAGCAGCCTGATGCTGTTCCTCAGCCTGCCCCTTCCTGATGGACAGGGGCCAGGGGTAGATTCCACCTCCTCTGAAGTCTATTTGCTGTTTTAGCAGTAGCACACTCTGGCTAAGAAAGCAGTTTCAGTCCCCGACTACCTTCTCTCATGCCCCTGTTACTCTAATCACCAGCTGGGTGGCCTTAGGCATGTTTTTTAACCACTGTGTCCTTGTCTAGAACAGAGGACAATAATACAATACCTACCTCACGGGTTTGCTGGGAGGGTTGGGAGGCATAATGTACAAAAGAAGCACACAATATATACTTTAGGGCCAGGCGCAGTGGCTCATGCCTGTAATCCAGCACTGTGGGAGGCCGAGGCGGGAAGATCACAAGGTCAAAAGATCGAGACCATCCTGGCCAAGATGGTGAAACCCCGTCTCTACTAAAAATACAAAAATTAGCTGGGTGTGGTGGTGCACGCCTGTAGTCCCAGCTACTCGGGAGGCTGAGGCAGGAGAATCACTTGACCCCGGGAGGCGGAGGTTGCAGTGAGCTGAGATCGTGCCACTGCACTTCAGCCTGGTGACAGAGCAAGACTCTATCTCAAAAAAATAAAAAAATAAAAAAAACAATAATAATATGCTTGACCCCCAATTAGCACTCAATACATATGGTCTATACCAATATATACTGTTGACCTGTTGGCTACTGAGGCTTCCCATTTGTATACCCAACAGTGCACTATTTGATATGTTCTTATTTCTAGGTCTTTAAACACACACATACAAATACACACACACACACCCACACACACACTGCTCATTTCTTCCATCCACAGAGCTTACAATTAACACTTCATTATGCCATATGTTCATGTCCTCTGTAATCCATATGGGTCTTAGAAAGAGATGTTAATTACATAATTCTGATCAGCCTGTTAGGCAGCCAAATTAGTCTATGTAAAATATTTTACCCATCAAAACCTGACTCCCCCGCTTCCCTCCTACTATTTTCCATTTTGTTTCCACTTACCTGCTCAAGTGAAAAGCCTCGAGTCGCACTTGATCCTTGATACCTTTCCTGGCCTTCTCTAACGTGAATGTACTTTTATGTTCCAAAAGTAAGTATCATAGATCCTATCTCCAAAATATATTTTGAATCTGTCTACCGTGTCATCTCTACTGTTATCACTTTAGCTAAATGCTCTCCCCGGGCCACAAGAACAGCTTCTGATCAGTCTCCCTGCTCTCAACTCTTACAGGCAGAATGACTTAAAAATAAATGTCAACTCACATCTCTCCCTCTGTATTTGTTTTCCATTTGCTGCTGTAACAAACTGCCTCAAACTTAGCAGCTTAACACAACAAAATTGATCCCCTTACAGTTCTGCAGGATTGGAGCCTGACATGGGTCTCACTGGGCTAACATCAGGGTGTCAGCAGGGTTGTGTTCCTCCTGCGGGCTCCAGGGAAGAAGGGAAAATTGCCTTTTCCAGCTTCTAGAAGCCCTCCACACTCCATGGCTCAAGGCATGCCCGATCTATCTTCAAAGCCAGCAACATGGCATCTCTGGCCCCACTTCCCTTATATCTCCTTCTCTGACTCTTTCCTGCCTCCCTCTCCCACTTTTAAGGAAATGATGAACTGAGATCTGACCAATGAGAACAATCCGGTGAAGAAAAAAGTTTTCCAGACAGAGGCAAAAGTTCTCTGGTGGATGGAGTGTAAGGCCCATTTCTGATTTTACTGGGCTCACATGGATAATCCAGGATAATCTCCTTACTTTAACGTTAGTTGGTTGGGGACCTTAATTCTATCCACAACCTTACTTTCCCTTTGCCATGTAACCTAACCGGTTTACAGGTTCCAAGGATTTGGATGTGGACATCTTTTGCAGGGAGGAGGAAGAGACATTCTACTGACAACACCCTACTTACAATTTCATGGGAATAAAATCCCTCTCCTGCTAAGGTCTAGGAGGCTGATCTGATCTGTGCCTCCCTGCACCATGCCCTACTTCTCTGAGTGCTTGGATTATCACCCCACTTCTCTCACGACGCTACAGCCATATTGGGGTATTCTCTCTGTTTCTAGAATACTGACAGCTCATTTACCTCTGCCCAGGAGGCTCTTTCTCTTGCTAGATTCATCTCTGATTAGGTCTCAGTCTAAGCAGCGCCTCTTTGAATGCTCTCGCCTGACTGCCAACCCCCTTCCATTCACATCCCCAGTCTCTATGACATCACCCAGGTTCATATCCTTTGAAACACTTATCACTGCCTAACATCACCATACTTACTGACTTCTTTACTTGCTGCTTATCTGTCCCTCACCTCTGGTGTGTAAGCTCCATGAGGGCAGGGCCTAGAACATGGCCTGGCACATAGCAGGTGCTCAATTAATTATTGTGGAATAAATTCTTACTACTGCGAGGCTATCTTCAGGCCATGATGTTGTAGGTAGTAGCCTTGCATGGTGATCTCATTGAGGTTAAATATAATTTATGAGTTGGTGCTACTGAAATGAGTCGGGATGCCTGAAATGCAGTTTCTAAGACATAGTCACGTAAGAGGATAGAGACTCTTGCAACTTAATCTGCCACTGATACCACAGGATTGATGCCATTTTTTGCATCAACTATGCAAAAGAAAGTCTTGCATTTTTGCTACTCGTTTGTCCAGATGCCCTCTACTGCAGTAAAGGCAAGATTCAGATAGCTTTTCCCATGCTGAGTTGATGCAGATGAACATTTACTATAAGGCAAAGCTAGTTTGTCCACGGGTGGTTTGGTGAATCTCACTAGAAATTCAAATCCAATAAATGAACTAGATAGAGGCCATCAAACTTTTCTCAAAACTAATAGTTTTAAACCAAAGCTTTTAATGTAATGTGAAAAAAAACAAACCACAGTAGTCCTGGGAAGGCAAATTCAATATGAAGGCATTAAAGATGCATACCAAAAACTAACCTCATTTTGGTTTAGGATTTTCCGGTATTCCGTGCTCCGTGCAAGAATGGTGACTCGAATTTTTCCATCCTGTAATCAAAATGAAATAGCAAAATAACACTGTAAATGTCTGGGTAGATGAATGAACATCTGAAACTAAAATGTAATTTCACAAAGAGAGGAAACTCAACCAGGATACATTAATGAACTATTCTTTTTTAGCCTGATTCCTTCACCATTCTCAGGGAATAAAAATATATCCACTTTAGCTACTGAAGGCAAAAACCAGCTCATCACATTATCTGTTTGGCTGGGTGGGTGAATTTCTTGGCAGGGGTTGTGTAGGTTAGATGAAGATGTAGGGAGGTGAGGGGGATACAGCCAATGAAGGGGGAAAGGAAGGCAGGAGGAAGCATTCTTATAATATTCCTTATCTTCTCTTTCATAGGTTTTTGACGCCTGGTTTCAGAGGACTCTAGGTCAGAAAATGTTTTTGGTTTTTTTAGGGGGACAGACTCTTGCTCTGTCACCCAGGCTGGTGTGCAAAGGCATAATCGGGGCTCACTGCAGCCTCTGCCTCCTAGGTTCAAGCGATTCTCATGCCCCAGACTCCTGAGTAGCTGGATCTGCAGGTGCATGCTACCACATCTGGCTAATTTTTGTATTTTTTGTAGAGATAGAGTTTTACCATGTTGGCAAGGCTGGTTTTGAAATCCTGGACTCAAGTGATCCACCTGCCTTAGCCTCCCCAGAAAATGTTAACACAAAAACACAGTCTCCTGATTATTTCTGTTTCTGAAAAGATAGTATTGATTTTTATTAGGGAAGAAAACTCAAGCCCACCTCAGAATCCACAGTGTATCCATTACCTTGGGTCCTTCTTGTGTGATGTTTAGTCTGTGTAGCACATGCTGGGAAAATGCCCTGAATAGTCCAGTATTTTGACAGCCAGATATCTAAAATAAAAACACCAGTTCATATTACAGTGAATACTCTGTATTGTAATTTAAGACACTGTCAAATTACATACAAATGTTATCTTAAAATCTATCAAGAATAATATCTGTAAATATAAATGCTAATTGTGCTTACCAGAGGAGTATTATAGAACAGCCCATACCTCATACGGGGGAGTAATGAAAAAACAGCTTCTTTAAAACACACCTAAGAACAAAGAGATATTAAAAGATAAGAGGATGCAATTTGCACCCTTCACACCAAAATAGCACTTATAATTTTGAAAAATAGATTTTAATTAATCTCCATGTTGCAGTAAGATTGAATAGCACACTATTTCAATCAAAGAGAACAGAATTCATATTTTTGGAAAAATTATAGAAAAAAGTTTTCAAAGGCTGCATGATTAACAACACTGAGGATTCTAATTATAATAAAGGAAATTCAGAAATCAGTGGTGATGGCTAATAGGAGCTCATAATAAATGTTTATGAGCGAGTCATCTGCACACAACAGATATTCATTCAGACATTTCAGGAAAATTTCCAGTACCCTTTTAGAATCATAAGTTTTCAAATGTATAACGTCATAATCAGTAAATGCATTCCATGTGTCAGAGAATAGGTCACCATATCCGTAAGAACTCTGAAAGTAGAAACAAAACAAGGTATTAGGGCAATAAAAGCATACAACATGACTTTTCAAAGATGCAACAAAACACCTGAATTTGCCTGTTAGTGTTAAAAACTAACAATCCTACACGAGTTCATAAAATCCATACAGACAAAATGGATCTTCATCTTGGGCCTGAGCAAATGCCTAATCTGATGAAATATCATCAGAAATAATTATCACAGTTATAATCTTAGCCATTAACAATGTTTCATTTTTCTACCTTCACTCTTTTTCTTCTCACATCTTTGAAGCTGTAATTCAGGGTTTCTTCCTGTAAACATCTTACCTAAATTATTCATACAACACATACATATGTCACCGTTTGTACACACTCTATTATGTTCAGTGTGCAAAAGCCATCACAGTGAATGAAATATGCTTTGGAAAAAAATTTCAGAACAAGAAAATGGGTTGAAGGTTTTAACATTGGCCAGGCATGGTGGCTCATGCCTATAATCCCAGCACTTTGGGAGGCCAAGGCGGGCAGATCGCCAATATGATAAAACCCCATCTCTACTAAAAAATACAAAAATTAACTGGGCATGGTGGCATGTGCCTGTAATCCCAGCTACTGGGGAGGCTGAGACAGGAGAATCAATCGCTTGAACCAGGGAGGCAGAAGTTGCAGTGAGCCAAGATTGCGCCATTGCACTCCAGCCCGGCAAACAAGAGCGAAACTCCGTCTCAAAAAAAAAAATAAGAGTTTTAACATTAAAAATATAGACTGGTCAGTAGCTCATGCCTGTAATCCCAGCACTTTGGGAGGCAAAGGTGGGAAGATTACTTGAGCCTTGAAATTTAAGGCTGCAGTGAGCTATGATCATGCCGTATACTCCAGCCTGGGTAACAGAGCAAGACCTTGTCTCTAATAAAATAAAACTTTATAATGTATGTAATTCTATGAAATGTCCCCCCACCCATTGACTAGTGAATAAAAAGTGACAATTTCACACTAATATTAATGGTGTCAATAACACCTTTATATAATATAACAACAATAGCATCCTGCACGCTTCCTGTACTCCAGGCACTGTTCTGGGGCACTTGACATTATTAGTGCACATTAAGCCACCCACAAGCCTAATGAGTAGATAATATCATTTTCACTGTTTTGTAGATGAGGAAACTGAGACACAATTTTAAGTCATTTGCCTACATTGCAGAGTAGTTGAGTTACAGAGCTGGGATTCAACCCAGCCTGTGCTGCCAGCTCCATCTGACAGCTGCTTCTCAGTGGGAACTAGTTCTTTCTAGCATATTTACCACATGCATTTTTATTTTAATTTTATTTTATTTATTTTTTGGAGATGGAGTCTTGTCCTGTCGCCCAGGCTACAGTGCAGTGGCATGACCTGGGCTCACTGCAACCTCCACCTCCCAAGTTCAAGCAATTCTCCTGCTCCAGCTGCCCAAAAAGGTAGGATTACAGGTGCACGCCACCATACCCAGCTAATTTCTGTATTTTTTGGTAGAGACCGGGTTTCACCATATTGGCCAGGCTAGTCTCAAACTCCTGAGCTCAAGTGATGGGCCCACCTCGGCCTCCCAAAGTGCTGGAATTATAGGTGTGAGCCACTATGCCCAGCCTCATTTCTTTTTTGAAAAGTAGTTAATTATGAGCTCCATCAGCTAAGAGGAGGAAGATCAATTAATTTTTAAGTGGTTTCACTTAGATTAAAAAATTCAGCCAGTAGAATTCAGAAATACGCATTGCAGCATTACATTCAAGATCTATAGTTAGTTATACATTACATTCATTATGTTCATGTCTTTTTACCTTTATGGCATTCTTTTCTCAGATTTTAAAAATTTTACGTGGCACATATTAGTTATTTCAAAGTTATTGAGATCTGTTAGATGTAATGATTAAAAAAAAAAAAAAAAAAAAAAAAAAATCCTTCCTTCAATGTTCCTCCAATGCCATTCTAAGAAAGGCCCTTCTCAACACCATCTAAAATGAAAGGTCCCTGTTCTGGCTCAATAATAAATAAAGGACAATTAAAAGAAGTGATTCTAGACAGTTTCCTGAGATAAAATACTTCAGATAAAATAAGATGTTTGAAAGGAAATTTTAATAATGAAATACAGTAATCCTGACTGATCCTTCCTCAGGGAAGTCACACATTATTTAGTAAGAACCACCTCCGGAAGCTTCTTTTCCATGTTCCCCAAATCCAAATTATCTACCAAGAGGGAAGGAGGGGCTTCTTCCTACACTCATGTTGAAGAATATTTGGATAGTCTTCAAGACGACACAAGATCTCCTTTAGTATGTCTCAAATTTAAACATGCACATAATCTATGACTTAGAAATTCACTTACAGGAATCTGTCCTACCGAAATGCTAGGATAAGCATGTGAAGATACAGGTATATTGAAAGGACATATGTACTTGTAGTCACATTTCAGTAAATAGCAAAGAACTGAAACAAAACTAAATGTGATATGGGGACGGGAAATGAATGCATGCACTGAATAAGGGATCCAACTTCCAAAACATCTATTGAATAGAACACCACGTGACACCTACAGCAAGTATAGCCCTAAATGTACTGACTTAGAAAGATGTTCTGGAGATAATATTAAGGTGGCAGTATGAGACAGAGAGTATATTTTCCATAAGAATATAAACATATTGGCCAGGCATGGTGGCTTATGGCTGTAATCCCAGTGCTCTGGGAGGCTGAGGCAGGAGGATCACTTGAGGCCAGGAGTTCAGGACTGTATCTGTCCACTTTCACGCCACTGATAAAGACATACCCTAGGCTGGGAAGAAAAAGTTTAATTGGACTTAAAGTTCCACATGGCTTGGGAGGCCTCAAAATCATGGTGGGAGGTGAAAGGCACTTAAATGGCAACAGCAAGAGAAAATTAGGATGAAGCAAAAGCGGAAACCCCTGATAAACCCATCAGATTTCCTGAGAGTTATTCACTACCACGAGAATAGCATGGGAAAGACCGGCCCGGTGATTCAATTACCTCCCCTTGGGTCCCTCCCATAAAACACAGGAATTCTGGAAGATAAAATTCAAGTTGAGGTTTGGTGGAAACACAGCCAAACTGTATCATTCTGCCCCTGGCTCCTCTAAATTTTGTGTCCTCACCTTTCAAAACCAACGATGCCTTCCCAACAGTCCCCCAAAGTCTTAACTCATTTCAGCATTAACCCAAAAGTCCACAGTCCAAGTCTCATCTGAGAAAAGGCAAGTCCCTTCCGCCTATGAGTCTGTAAAACCAAAAGCAAGCTAGTTACTTCCTAGATACGATGGGGGTACCAGTACTGGGTAAACATAGCCATTCCGAATGGGAGAAATTGGCCACAACAAAGGGGTTACAGGGTCCACGAAAGTCCAAAATCTAGAGGGGCAGTCAAACTTTAAAGCTCCAAAATGATCTCCTTTGACTCAAGGTCTCACATCCAGGTTACGCTGATGCACAAGGTAGGTTCCCATGGTCTTGGGCAGCTCTGCTCCTGTGGCTTTGCAGGGTACTATCTCCCTCCTGGCTGCTCTGACAGGTGGGCATTGAGTGTCTGCGGCTTTTCCAGGCGCACAGTTCAAGCTGTCAGTGGATCTACCATTCTGGGGTCTGGAGAATGGTGGCCCTCTTCTCACAGCTCCACTAGGGCAACACCACTGTGTGGGGACTCCAACCCCGCATTTCCCTTCCACACTGCCCTAGCAGGGGTTCTGCATGAGAGCCCTGCCCCTGCAGCAAATTTTTGCCCCAGCATCTAGGCGTTTCCATACATCTGAAATCTAGGCAGAGGTTCCCAAACCTCAATTCTTGACTTCTGTGCACTGCACGCTCAACACCACATGGAAGTTGCCAAGGCCTGGGGCTTCCACCCTCTGAAACCACAGGCCCAGTTGTACGTTGACCCCTTGCAGCCACAGCAGAAGTAGCTGGGGCACACAGCACAGGGACCCTGGACACAGCTCACAAAACCACTTTTTCCTCCTGGGCCCCCAGGGGGGAGCTGCTGTAAAGGTTTCTGACATGGCCTGGAGTCATATTCCCCATAGTCTTGAGGATTAACATTAGGCTCCTTGGTATTCATGAAAATTTCTGCAGCTGGCTTGAATTTCTCCCCAGAAAATGGGTTTTTATTTTGTATCGCATAGTCAAGCTGCAAATTTTCTTAACAGCACCTCTTGAATGCTTTGCTGCTTAGAAATTTCTTCTGCCAAATACCCTAAATCATCTCTCTCAAGTTCAAAGTTCCACAAATCTCTAGTGCAGGACCAAAATGCCACGAGTCTCTTTGCTGAAACAAAACAAGAGTCACCTTTCCTCCAGTTCCCAACAGGTTCCTCATCTCCATCTGAGACCACCTCAGCCTGGATATTATTGTCCATATCACTATCAGCATTTTGGGCAAAGTTATTCAACAAGTCTCTAAGAAGTTCCAAACTTTCTGGCATTTTCCTGTTTTCTTCTGAGCCCTTCAAACTGTTCCAATCTCTGCCTGTTAACCAGTTCCAAAGTTGCTTCCACATTTTCAGGTATCTTTTCAGCAACGCCCCACTCTACTGGTACCCAATTTCTGTATTAGACCATTTTCAGGCTGCTGATAAAGATATACCCAAGACTGGGAAGAAAAAGAGGTTTCATTGAACTTACAGTTCCACATGGCTGGGGAGGCCTCAGAAAAATGGTGGGAGGGGAAAGGCCCTTCTTACATGGTGGTCTAAGGGAAAATGAGGAAGAAGCAAAAGCAGAAACCCCTGATAAACCCATCAGATCTCATGAGACTTATTCACTATCACAAGCATAACGTGGGAAAGACTGGCCCCTATGATTCAATTACCTTCCCCTAGGTCCCTCCCACAACATGTGGGAATTCTGGGAGATACAATTCAAGTTGAGGTTTGGTGGGGACACAGCCAAACCATATCAAAGACCAATCTGGGTACCATAGCAAGATCTTGTCTCTACAGGAAATAAATTTAAATATTAGCCAGATGTCAAATCAGAAGACAGTAACATATATTATATACATAAACGCACACATATAGTATATATATAGATCTATATATAACTATATATATATACTATTATAACATATACATAGAAAAAAAATAGCCAGGTATGGTGGCATGCACCTGTAGTCTTGGCTACTTGGGAGGCTGAGGCAGGACGATCACCTGAGCCCAGGAAAGCAAGGCTGCAGCGAGCTAGGATCATATTCCTGGACTTAAGCCTGGGTGACATATTTGTACTTATTAAAACAAAAAGACTCTTGCAAGGGACTCACACACGTTAATTGCAGTTACCCTTGGGGGAACAGGGAATTGGAGAAGCGGAAGAAGGAGGCTTTTTTAAAAACTTTGCATACTTCTGTGTTGTCTGAACTCATTATAAGCAGGTATTACTTTCATAATTTAAAAAGTAATCATGGCTGAATGCAGTGGCTCATGCCTGTAATCCCAGCACTTTGGGAGGCCAAGGTGGGCGGATCACCTGCGATCAGGAGTTTGAAACCAGCCTGGTCAACATGGTGAAACCCTGTCTCTACTAAAAATACAAAAATGAGCCAGGTGTGGTGGCACACACTGTAATCCCAGCTACTGGGGTGGCTGAGGCAGGAGGATCGCTTGAACCTGGGAGGCGGAGCTTACAGTGAGCCAATATCGGGACATTACACTGGAGCCTGGGCAACACAGCAAGATTCCGTCTGAAAAACAAACAAAATAATCATAAAGCTATACTACTTCTCAGCATAAGCAAATGTGGAAAGCCTACAGTAATTTCCCCTCTTATTTATTCTGTTTGATAAGAGCGGCCCTGCTGTGCCCAGAGAGGCATCTGAAGATGGGTCCTTCTATGCATGTTTGCAGGTTGGTGGCCTTGCCCATCCCACTGAGGAGGCCACATGCTGAAGGGAGTAAACTGCAGAGTTTTTCAAGGAGGAAAGGGAAGGCCCCATAGGCTTCCTTGTGGGAACTGTTGGGAAAATCACCAAGACATGATCTGTAGTCACAGCTACTACCTCCCTGCTCTTTCCTGGGCAAATTGCTCATCCCAGACCAACAGGACTCCGAGAACACCATCCACTGAGGGGGATTCATGTCACAGTCACCCTGCAGGTGACAGTGCTGCTTAACGTAAGTCCTTACCAACAAAAGAGAAACAGTAGCCACAAAAACCCTTGCTTGGCACCATCCCCATCCAACCTACCATCTTCTGTGGGCCTGAATTCTGGAGTAATCTGGCAGAGTTGCCTGTTCTGAGAACCTGGCTGAGTAAATGGCAAAAGCCTCTTTGACCAAGAGTGCAGGTTTAAAACATATGCACAGGGAGTGGCCAAGGAGAGGGGTAACACCGAGCAGCCACCCTGCTGGGCAACACCCATCCTGCTTATCTGTGCCAGAATTGAAGTCAGACTGCCCTCATGTCTTGTGCTCAGCTGACTGAGTAACCTGGGGTCTTCATGGTGGCTGTGTATCCTACTCCGGCAGGCACAGAGAAGGGGAGGGTTGTAGAAGCTGGCTCACTATAGCTTAGTCCATTTGAGGTAGACGTGGAAAAGTATGCAACAGGTACAAGGAAGCTTCTGGAAGACATCTGATAAACTTTATGTCAACTTAGTCTGGCAACTTAGGTAGAGTCCTCTTCACAGGACTTTAGGAAGATGATAGAGCACTGTGATGTCCAAGCCCAGGTCTGGAGTCAGGCTGCCTGGATGGAATCCTTGGTTCCACCTTCACTGACTACATCATCTTAGAACACTCACCGGCTGCTCAGGCCTCGGCTTCTTGTCTATAAAATAAGCTAATGAAAACTAAAGTACATGAGGGGTCATGAGCATGAAATTAAATAACATCATTTATGTTAATTACAAAATTTAAAAATAGCTTTGCTTAGAAAGGGCAAAACAGCCCCGAGTTAAACATTTAGGGCCTCTCATGGCTGGTGACTGTGGCCTGACTGCACTGACACAAAAAGAAGAAAAGAAAGGAAGTGTTGTTCCCTTTGCTCACAAAACATTTCCAAGAAATGAAACTGTGGTGGCAGCAAAACTGAAATACAAGAGGGAAATGTAAATGCATACAGATGGAAAATGAAAGAAAGTATTAACATGCCAAGAATTACAGTCTCATCAGATGTCAAATCTAACTCAAAGTCTAGGGAGCAGTGACCCTGAAAACCTTTCTACGCAGCTCTACTACAAGCCTCTGATCGGTGAAAAAGGGGTCAGCAAAACTCTCTCCTTCTGCATGAGAATTTGACCTTCTGTTAACTGGCTAACTCGGCTCTCTGGAAATGAAGACAGCTTGTGTCAACCATGTGCCTAGGCAACATTGCTTCTGATCTAAAAAGATGCTTGATAGGTAAATTGCTTCTGCACTGGGAAAGCCATGTTTCAGATTCCCTGAGTCCACTGACTCCTGGAACCTGGCATGTCTTTCAGGGATCCTGGGGCTTTTCCAATGCAGTAGTGTCAGGAGATGTTGGCCCCTGCAGGATATGAGGCTCGTAAGCCAAGGCATTGCCTGTACCTCCCCCAGATGAATCTTGTCTCCTTGCAGCTGATCTGTGCTGTATGAACTACTAGCATGCCCTCTGGAAACACCTGAGGCTGCCCTGCCAGCAAGCTGTGATTCCCTTGCAATGTAATCCTGAATAGTCTCACACCAAGAGCTGAGCATATGAGTGTCTTGTCAGTCCAAATGTTGAGTAGAACATTAGATGACCCCCAGGTGGGTGTTCCAACTTCCCCGTTTAGGCAACCTCTCTCATGTACACTACAAACCATTTATTCTCCTTATTGTAATTGTCACAGTTAACATTCAAAGCACAAGTACTGTGTACCAGGCACTGTGACTGTTCACACACTATATGGTTCATTCTCAAAATGACACCTAGGTAAATGTCATTATCTCATTTCACAGCTGAAGACACTGGGGCACATCTTGGGGTTTCCTCAGCAGGTAGAGGGGCCAGATATGGGAAGAAGTAGGGAAAAGGCAGGCAAAGAGAGAGAAGGAAAAAAAAGACTGCACTAAAAACAAGTAAACAGCAGGTGTCACTCAACAGATGTATTTATGTGCATGCCTAAGACCTGCCCTATAGAGTGAACTGAAACACACAGCATAATTTAGCACAAAGGACATAGTAACGAGGAAGCTGCTATTAAGCAAAGGCAAACAGTAAATGCAAGAGGCCAAAAAGTAAACAGAGGAAAGCACTTCTAACACAGGTTATAGAGGTTGAGCGAATGACAGCCATTTTTTTTTTTTTTTTTTTGAGACAGAGTCTTGCTATTACCCAGGTTGCAATGCAGTGCCATGATCTTGGATCAGTACAACCTCCACCTCCCAGATTCAAGTGATTCTCTGATCTCAGCCTCCTAATTAGCTGGGACTACATGTGTGTGCCACCACATCCAGCTAATTTTTGTATTTTTAGTAGAAACAAGGTTTCCCCATGTTGGTCAGGCTGCTCTCGAAAATCCTGGCCTCAAGTGATCCCAAAGTGCTGGGATTATAGGCATGAGCCACCGTGCCTAGATGAATGGCAGTCTTTCATATATCTGTCGCAGAAGAACACTGAGCCAAAGTCACTGAATCTCTGGCCTTTGGAGCTCCACTCACCTAGAAAGGGAAAGAAACCTTTCCTACTGCCTCATTCTAAAATTCAAAGAACAAAGGTACACACATACCTACGTATCTGCCTATATGTATATGTACATGTCAATGCATGTATATACAGATAAATTCACACCCATCCACATATGTGCAGGTGTGTATGTTTAAATGTATGTGTCTTCGAAAATTCTGTTTCACAAGATGAGAGTCACACACTTATACAAGGGAAAGACAGTGCTGAAGCAGAGAGCACATTCTTACTTACGGTGTCCCACATCACGATGTACACATCAGTACTGAATGAGTTATTAACGTGCTGGGTAATATAAAGATTGATGAAATCACAGAAGTGGTGATACATGTTAACACCTAGTGTTGGAAAACAAAACTACGTTAACACCAAAGAGCACAGGAGTAAGCAAGTTTTATTCAATCCTATCTATTTACAGTTTAAGAGAATTTTGGTTTAAATAAATGGGGACAAAAATAACAGGTATTTTTTCTTTCAAACATGAAATCATCTACATACATAGGTAGTCCTCAATTTACGGTCTGACTGGGTTTCAAAAGTCACTCTAAAATTGGTTATTTAAAATCAGGAATGCATTTTCCCATATATCCCAAGTAACAAGTGATCATTAAGTTCCCAGAAAATAACAAGGTAGGTCTATTTAACTCAAAACTGAGTAAACTACAGTCATGAAGACAATTCATTATTTCTTCTGATTTTATTTATTTTTTTTTATCAGAGGTGGGGTCTTGCTAAGGTAGCATGCACCACCATGCCTAGCTTGATCATTTACTTTTTAAAGTCAACTAAGGGGCCAGGCGCACTGGCTCACATCTGTAATCACAGCACTTTAGAAGGCCAAGGCAGGTAGATCACTTGAGGTCAACAACAGGTAGAGCACAGCCTGGCCAACATGGTAAAACCCCATCTCTACTAAATTAGCCAGGCCTGGTGGTACCTGCCTGCAACCCCAGCCACTCAGAGGACTGAGGCAGGAGAATTTGCTTGAGCCGGGGAGGAGGGGGTTGCAGTGAGCCAAGATCACACCACTGCACTCCAGCCTGGGTGACAGAGTGAGTCTCTGTCTCAAAAAAAAAAAAAAAAAAAAAAAAGTCAATTAAGCAACATCTGTTCATCATGGAAGTACTGGCAATGACGGCAACTAACATTTTGGTAATTTTCATTCCTGTCTCTTTTTTCCCTATTTAATCATTACTTTTATCATTCCTGGAAAAACACTAACCAACTATCATATAAAAGAGGTGAATGTTTTGTGTTCTGATTGAAACGGAAGGAATTCTGGAGTAAGAAGAACTGGGTTGAATTCCAGCATGGCCATTCATGCGCAACATTCTCAGATGAGTTCATAAAGTCCCTAAGTTTTAGCTTCTCTATAGAAATGGGAAATAGTTACCTGAGTGCCAGCTTTATTATGAGAAACCCAAAGATAATACATCTTAAAGTACCCATCCCAGTGCCAGGCACATAAAAAGCCCTGAAGGAAGACTAGCTAGATCCCGCTAGGTCAGATAGAGAGGAGAGGGCTGTGGGTGCCACTATTTGTAAGTTCACATGTCATTCATTAAAAAGAAACAGAACGTGCACCCTCTCCACTTAAGCATGCAGGACCCAGTATTCATCCTGGAAATGTACAAACCTAAAATGGGATGAAATTCCAAGAATGGACACTTAGAGCAAGCATTTTAAAGGTGGGAAAAGTTTGAGTAAAAGAAAAACAGGGACTCTCAAAAGCAGACATCATAAAATATTCTGACTTCATTCCCACAGTGAAAAATAACACTGTGTACCAGAAATAATAGTATAAAAATACTCTGTTTCTTTCAGCCTGGAATCTTAAATGATTGTTTGGAAGGGCTAATTTTTTCACCCAGAAAAATCTGGGCAAAGAATATATTTTCAAATTAACAAGAAAAATAAAGTTCTATCAGAATCCATCCTCTTTTCCCAGGTTAACCATAAGCACACATGAGCTCTTTCATGTAACATTTAGTGAGTTCCTAACAGTTACTGGGGAATGCAACAGGCATAGAACAGTGCTTGGGCTGCAAGAATTTATACACAGAGAAGAAAATGTAAGCTCCATCCTTGAGAAATGTGCCCTCTAATGTGTCTTGATCTGTAGAAGGCTCGTTTTCCTAAGGTATGAGTTAATGAAAAGGAAAACTGAGCCAGGCACAGTTGTTTACACCTATCAACCAAGAACTTTGGGAGGACAAGGTAGGAGGATCACTTGAGCCCAGGAGTTCAAGACCAGCCTGAGCAACACAGTGAGATCTTGCCTTTATAAAAATTTTTTAAAAATGAGGCCGACATACTGGTGCATGCCTCTGGTCCCAGCTACCTGAGAGGCCAAGGTGGGAGAATCACTTGAGACCAGGAGGTTAAGGCTGCAGTGAGCTAAGATCACGCCACTGTACTCCAGTCTGGGCAATAGAGCAAGACGCTATCTCTAAAGAAAGGAAAGGAAAATTGGAAAACAGTACAATTTAGAAGAAAAAAGTAGAGTTATAAATATAGGAAGGAAATGGCACATGTCTACCCTAGCCTATTATTCTCACTTTATATACTTTATTGTGTAGGTACCTGCATAAATTTAATAGCTCACACATATTTGCCACTTTTACAGGCAGATCAGTGTTTTCTTTGCCCCTTTTTAATCTGCATATTTTAAAAATAAGCCAAAACGTGGAACATAGCATTTTTACTTGCTCTTATCTCAAAAACCTAAACTTGTCTGATTTCTGAATTTAATACTTTATAATATAAGAATTATGACTTCAGAAGGCAGAGCACATTAAAACTATGCTCAATAAATTATAGTAATTCTGAAATATTTGTGACAGAGGCTCTCTATATTTCACTGTAAGCCCAATCTCTCATGAATTTTGCTATGATCCAGCACAGTAATCCCTGTCTCACATAATGAGAGAGATAATGTAGTACAATCTGTGTTTCTCCTCTCCAGTGTAACTAGTTCACAAAGTTAAAGCTCTGCTTGCAAGCTGAGAGACAAGCTATAAGTATAAATGAGAAGATAATTTTAATTTTATTTCAATAATAAGTTACAGTGGTAACTTCCAGAAGACTTTTAAGTTCACGGGCCAGACGTGGTGGTGCACACCTGTAATCCTAGCACTTTGGGAGGCTGAGGTGGGCGGATCATAAGGTCAAGAGATCAAGACCATCCTGGCCAACATGGTGAAACCCCGTCCCTACTAAAAATACAAAAATTAGCTGGGCGTGGTTGCATGCACCTATAATCCAGCTACTGGGGAGGCTAAACCAGGGGAATTGCTTGAACTTGGGAGGCGGAGGTTGCAGTGAGCTGAGATTGCACCACAGCACTCTAGCCTGGTGACACAGCGAGACTCTGTCTTAAAAAAAAAAAAAAAAAAAGTAATTTTAAGTTCACTTTAGTCATGGAAATACTATAGAAAGTTTCCAGGGCAGGTCATGGACATTTCTTTCCCACCCATACTATAGACATGGCTTTTGATCTTTCTTTTCCACTGCCCACAGAGTTGTGTTCTGTCTGTCGCCAGACTGGAGTACAGTGGCACAATCTTGGCTCACTGCAACCTCTGCCTCCCTGGTTCAAGCAATTCCCCTGCCTCAGCCTCCCAAGTAGCTGGGACTACAGGCACACGCCACCACACCCAGCTAATTTTTTGTATTTTTTTTTAGTAGAGATGGGGTTTCACCAAGTTGGCCAGGATGACCTCGATCTCCTGACCTCATGATCCGCCCACCTCGGCCTCCCAAAGTGCTATGATTAGAGGTGTGAGCCACTACATCCGGCCCGGCTTTTGATTTTAAACATCTTTTAATGAAAGACAACCTAAATCAAATGATTAGACAAACCAGATGGAGTAAATTTAGTTACAAAAGATATAAATAAGCCTTCTCTAGTCCTTTGATTTTGAAATATCAAATTCTGAAATAAGTCCTTTGATATAAATATGAAAGTTTCTTCTCAAATGCCAAAGGTACAAAATAATGAAAAGTTCAAACTAGTTCAACTCCTTCTTCAGAGAGGAAAGCAAAAAACAAATCTACTCTTTGTCATGCTGCTTCCAAAACATTCATAGAGAATTACTGCATCCAAAAAAAAGAATAAAATCTCATTAACAAATACATAAATAACAGACAAAATAACTCCTCACCTGCATCTAATTTCATGAAATATGTTGGTTTTTCAATGACAATGTCACATTTAGCATCTTGTATAGGTCTGAAGTTGAGCTGAGTATAGCTCTGTAGCTCAGCAAACCTGAAATTATGAATTCGGAGATGACTTCATTTTTTTTTTCTTTTTTCTTTTTTTTTTTTTTTTTTTTTGTCACTTTGCAGTTCTCATATCACTGACAGGGAGATTACTTCAAACTGATTCTCCCAAACTTCCTATTGCAACATTGTAACTTAGGATCTGTTCACTGGGCAGATTTTACTTCTAGTTGGTAGAGACACTCCTGTAACTTGTAAACCTTACTGACATTTATATGGGTTGATATCAATTTTAATGTTAAGCCAAGGAATAGGCCTGGCGCAGTGGCTCATGCCTGTAATCTCAGCAGTGTGGGAGGCCGAGGCGGGCGGATCACAAAGTCAGGAGATTGAGACCATCCTGGCCAACATGGTGAAACCCCATCTCTACTAAAAACACAAAAATTAGCTGGGCACGGTGGTGCATGCCTGTAGTCCCAGTTACTCAGGAGGCTGAGGCAGGAGAATCACTTGAACCTGGGAGACAGAGGTTGCAGTGAGCCGAGATTGAGCCACTGCACTCCAGCCTGCGGACAGAGTGAGATTCCTTTAAAAAAAAAAAAAAGCCGGGCGCGGTGGCTTACGCCTGTAATCCCAGCACTTTGGGAGGCCGAGGCGGGTGGATCCCGAGGTCAAGAGATCGAGACCATCCTGGTCAATATGGTGAAACCCCG